ATGCCTAGCACCAATCAAAGGTATGCTTGTCAAAAAACAAATTAAAGGAAAAAAACCCATCAACGTCATTTGTGGTGTGATTACTTTTTACCATTTGCATTTACGTTTCATGTGAAGCATGGCATAAATTTCATTTTATTGATATCTTTTCTCATACGTTGTATATTTCAATTCTTTCAAAACGAAGCTTTTTTCTCTTATTAAGAAGAACGAAGAAAACCAAGGATATCGTCTGTGTGTTTTTTGTCTCATTATGCATACGATTAACATGCTAATAATGTGAATCAAACAAGAATAAACATCATTTTAGTTTTTTATATAGACAAAAGTCAAACAACGATATCCAGTTGCCGAATATACTAAATCACTGACATCTAACTAAAGTAATTCTTTTATTCATATTCATTCGAAAAAAACAATATAATAAAATGATATTTCGTTTTCTTATTTTCCAATAATTGTCTCTCTTTCATTAATTTCTAAGATTCATAAAGAAATAATATTCAATTTGTGTTTGTTCACACAATTTTAACATATGTTACAATGGCAACAGGAAAACTTCTCCTATCCAAACAAATATCAATAGAACTATGTGTATAATAAATGTATATTCATGAAAAATATACTACAAAAGATGTACTGATCGATAACTAGTTTTGTTTGTGTGATTGTAAAACAGAGTCATACATGCTCGTATACAATCAACAAATAATGAAAAGAGTTGCTGGTATTTTTCTGATTAAAATCGGTATGAGTATGAAAGACATGAAGACTATTTTTCTTGATTTAAAATTGAGAAAAAAACCATTGTTATTGTATTGTATGCTTGATACCTTTTTTCAAATGCAAAACTGTCTTCCTCAAATAAAAAGCGTGAGCTGGGAGGTTGAGTTCATGATTCTTTTGAGTTTCTGCTGAAGATACAACCGATTCAGAAAAGATCAATCAATAAAGAAAAAGTCACAAAATTATTTGTATTATTGTTATCGTTGTTTTTTTTCTTTCGTTCGTGCCTGTACGATGAATAAAAATATGACGATAAAATATGTAAATAAAAGACTATTGAAGAACCGTAATATTACATTTTTTTTACTCTCCTTTTAGACTCAATTGCATTATATTCATTTCATTTCTCTACATGATCATTGATTCATATGCAATTAATATCATGAAAATCTATCTATAGGTTGTATATGCTTAGCATAATATTAAAAAAGACCATAAAATCGAACGAATATTCAAGAACTGGTTCTCTAGAGCTGACATTTATTATGTCAGGGAAGAATATTTAAAAACTTGTCTTAATGCAAATAGAGTTTTTTTTCGAAAGCTTTTTTAGTTTTGAAATTGTTTAACTTGAAAAATTGAAGAAAATCTTAATATAGAATAGTTTGCTAAAAAAAAAGGAACAAAGTGATTTCATAAACTTAGACTTACAAAAGAAAAATTATTTATCTGTAGCATCTACACTTTGCTTTGAGACTAGACTGACGATGACAAAGTTGATAAACTTGCATTTTTAGTTGAACATCATCAACAGACTTTATACTTCAATGGACATATGCATCTATTCGATGAAATTAAGAATTATTCAGAGATCGGTAAAACAAAAAATGGTGAACTCGCAAGTGATAGTAGATATAGATATGTTGCAGTTGAGTTTTGAATCTAGTTCAGATTGGAATCACTTAGTTCACTTTGTTTGTTTAAAAATTTTTCTAACACATTCAAGAAAACTTGTTTGTTTCTTGTCAAATTTATATTTAGTATTACTTCTCGAACGATAAAAAGTATCTTCGTACCGTTATTTTGTTGATGAAAAACCATTAGTCGTTCTATTTATTGTTTTCTTCTAAAAGTAAATGTTACTCATCATTTTCCTTATATTGTAGTTTCTATATCGGTAGTCGGGACATGGGGACACTGAACGATTGGTTGAAATGAAATCGAGAGTACTTGAGCTATTTGTTTCTATAGAATAGATTTCTTTGTTTTCGAGCTGCGGGACATGGGGACATTGAATCATTGGTTGAAACGAAATCGAGAGTATTTGAGTTATTTGTTTCTATAGAATAGATTTTTCTTTTGAGCAGCGGGACATGGGGATATTAAATCATTGGTTGAAACGAAATCGAGAGTATTTGAGCTATTTGTTGTTATAAAATAGTTTTTTTTCGATGCTCGTGATATGGGGGGATTGAATGATTGGTTAAATGTTTAGTGTTAGCAAATTCGTTGTTAAAAAATTGAAATTGAATGATTCATGCTACTTAGAATAGCAGCCGATCTGATGTTGAATTGATTGATTAATAATTTAACTATAAACGGATTGTTGATTGTCTATTCGATAGACTTATTATGAGAAAGTTTATCAATGTACGATTGTAGTTGAGAATTAAGAATGCCCCTTTTTGTAAGAGATTCACGTGAAAAAAAATTTATGTAATTAAAAACAAACCGACATAGAATGTGTTTCTTGATTGAATGTTCCATGGCAACGAACATCAATCTATTAATTATAAGGAGATGAATAAAATTCATAAAATTCTAATACTCACTAAATAAGAATAGTTAAAAATGAAAATTTCCTATATGTAAATATTTTAAAATAATTCAAAATAAATCATAGAAGTTCGACCAATCATTTAGAATCGCTAAAATTACAAAAGTTGAATACAATAGTAAACGAACATTAATTATCGTGTGACTCATATGATTAACATGCATTCCAAACTCAACTGAATTCCCATGTCAACTGTGACAGATATAAAGTATCACTGAATGAAATATTTATATCATTACTTCGAAACCAATAATTCTGAATATTAGAAGATTTTAATGAGTTACATTCTAGATATTAGTGAGGCATTCTATACTTAAATATTATGGAAATGTCATAAAACATCATTCGTGAATGAAGAATAATCTTTCTTCCAGCAAACAGATCTTCATATAATGGTTTTCATCAAGATTAATTGTATTGCTTAGTTTCAATCTATAAATAGTTTATTTCAAAGACAATCACATAAATTTTAATGAGATCCAACAGTGACAATAAGACTTTCATGGTTCAAAGATCTATACAAAATTTTATGTTTCGGTTTGTCAAGCGATTTTATCTAGATAGTATATATACATACATCTATCTGTATCAAAAAATGGTAATGATTATGTGTGCCAATTAATAACTTTAGTTTGAATATGTAAAGATCTGTGATAACTAGTGTCTGGTATATTGAAAACTGTGAAAGTTACCCATAGTTATTCCATATAGGTAATCCATCTACGTATAAAAATATGTTTAATGTTCAAAAATATGCAATACTATTTTGATTATATTATGTGATCTGAGCTTTTTTACAACGTTGCACAATGTTAAAATGTTAATAATCATTTAGAATTTGTTATCTATAGTCTTTAATTGTAAAAAACAGTGATAAAACATCGTGAAAGAAAAAATTTCAAAAAAAGATTTACTTATCAATATCTGCTATAGCTTGTTGTATTTGAAGATTTGTCTCGTCAAAAAGGTTTATATCTTTAGATAGCTTTTCATAGATGTTCATTAGACTCTTATCTATCGAAGAGCACTAATTATTATTGAATACGATATGGAAAATAATAAATTAGAAATAACCATCTTGAATGAATTTCTTTATTTGCTTTATTTTGCGATCATCAAGAAATTGATGTTCAATTAATGCTTTTCTTTTTTCATTTCATTATTTTATTCAAAGTTTCTCTGTTTTTGTGTTTATTTTAATAATATTGACTTGCATTATAATAGAGACAAATCTTCAGCGATTCATATCGATATTTCGAATAAAATTGATTATTTTTAATATCAACTATATTTTTCACTGATCGATGAAATATAAAAAATTTTAAAACTAATTCTTATAATTGAATTTTTCAATCGTTTACTGGTTATTGATTTTTGAGAGAGTCGTCAACAGCAAAGATTAAATAAAATACTCAATATAATACAATGAATTTTTCTTATCAACTTGTATCGATGGTCATTTGAAACAGAACGTCGATTATTCCTTCTGTTCCTAAGGCTATTGTCTTCTGAGAATTTCATATGGTTATAAATGCCTCATTATCTTATCCTTAGTATTAATATCCTATCATTATGGTGTGCATCAACAGAAACATTAATTTCAAAAAAAAAAAATCAATGATCTATGTTTTTTTCTTTACCAACACAACGCTTAATATAAAATGAAATAAGTTTCAACAATGTTGAAACAATATTTGATACAATTTATATAAAAAAGCCTTTTATCGTGTTCTAATATAGATTCAATATCGATTTATTTTTACACAATGTAAAATCATGTCGGATTCATATATGAATTTTCAACAGACGATACATATAATTTTGTTACGCTTTATTATATTTATGTCGAAAATCATTTATATAAATATATTTCAAAACAAAATGATTTCTTAGCTGGAAACTATATTATTAATATTGAAATATCTTTGTCAACTATATGATGTTATTGTAAGAAATAAACAAATAAATCAATTATTTACTTATTATCTAATGGTCTTCATTGTATTGATTATTTAACAAGAAAAATATTAAATATAAACCATATTTTTATAGATATAATTTCAATAAATTCACTCAATCAATCTAATTATAAAAAAATACAAACAACAAATAATTTAACAAAAGAAGGAGTTTTACAAATATTGATAGTTAATATATGCCAATATATTCAACATTATTTAAAAATTTTGAAAGACTAAGTACACATGATTTATTATCCTGTGGACAATTTTCATGTGATACTATATTAACATCAATTCATAGTAATAATACATCATCATTGCCAATTAAGGGATGTTCATATGTGTTTTAATAATTGAGAAGTAGAATTTGTTTCTTTTGTTAATATTGAATATTCAATAGAATGATTACAAATTCTAATTGGACTATATGTTCGTTGGTTAACAACAAATTCAAATAATTTATGTAATATGAATTAATGCGTTTGTTTATATATCTTTCTGATTTGTTTACATTGTCGAAACAATTATCAAATTTATATAACCTATATGATGAATATTTTCGTACATTAAATGAAGTCATTAATAAGTTAGGGTTTATAAAAATCTGGCATATTACTTGGACAAAAACAACAAAAGAGTATAGTGAATTATTTATAAATGAACATGTTAATAAAGAACAAGAAATGATTTATCGATTATTAATAATATCATCATCAGATAGTATTCTTATTGAACCTGTTGAAGAATTATGTGAACGTATTAAACAACCATCAACATTACCATTGTTGCTTGCACATATTGGCTTATCACATCGTTTAATGAATAAAATGATTTTAGAATTTGCTGCATCAATACAACACTTATATCCTCAAATAGTTGCATATACAGTTTCTGCCGTTTTTTTTGTGCTTTAATTAGTGCACATTATTTAGCTAAAGTTAATAAATGGATCTTATTATTAATGAATAGTATTGCACAAAGAAAGTCAATACGTATGGCTATATGGGGACTAAATTGTCTTATGTTAAGTACATGTCCATCGCATAAAACTACTAATGCATTATAAGTATTTACTTAAGAGAGACTTCGCCAGAATATCGCCCAAATACATAGAAACTGTCCGGAGCTAAAATTTAAATTTTGATCTTTGATATTTTATTTGAAAGGTCATAATGTGTACATAGAAAAGCCAAAAGTATTAGGATCAAATGTCAATGCAATTGTGAAGAAATAAGGGACACAAGTTAACTACCCTCATGAAACCTGTTAAAATTGGCTGATTTGTTTTTGATTTTCTTGGATTTTCTTGTGTACCTTATATTTTTGATAAAATTCGGCTCTACTTTCATCTAGAAAAAAAATCAAAATACAAAAACTCACGGCAAATTATCAAACGAAACCGTTCTAGGTATTTAGACCAAAATGACACTATTTTTTAAGCGTCCCAGAAAAATAAGATCATATTCTGAAAGCCTATCAAAAACTGCATCTTTTGATATATAAATCAAAGGGAAAAAACACGGCTTGGTTCAGAACGTCTTCAAACAAATGTGAAGTCTCACATACCTTTTTCATCAAAAAATATTTATTTTCTACATTTTTAAAAATCATTTGTTTTTTTTTTATTTTGGTTTTGAGGGTATGGGTGTGGGTATATGGGTGCATTCACACTCACACCCACACCCTCATTATTTTACTTTTATTTATTCGAGGAATGTGTGCTTCGTTCTCGCGCTTCAGTCCCATAGACAAATGTACGATCAAATAGGTTTATAAGAACAGAAAATAACACAGATTGACTTAAAAGTTTCTATTATTATAATTAGAAGTAAAAAGTACAATAAAACAAAAAGATTTAGGTTTGTTGATTAAAATATTCAATGTTTTTACTTGTTCTTCGTTTTTCTTTCAGTAAATTTAAATTTCTGAAGAATCCATGCATGTAGTCATTGTTTCGACCACCTATACTCATGTTGTTTACACAAATAGAAAAGAAAGTTCTTTTATTTGCCTTGAAAGAGAGAGAGAGAGATTTAATTGTTAATAAAAGATGAGTATCTGACAAATCCACGAAATCGTGTATGATATGTCATTATTCTTAATGCTAATATTAATTAAATGTATGAATGTATGTAGTATATACTGCTTTCATTCATTGTTATTTTGTTTCACATTTTGAGAGCTTCCTGACGTAAGCGTGGTAGTACACAAATAAGAAGTATTCTTGAAAATGAGTTATTTTTCTTGTTTCGTTCTCACAGCAAGCAAAAAATAAAAGAAAAACCATAATAACTTCTATTGAAGAAGAAATTATACTGACTTATATCAGTGTACATAGAAAACTTATTGAAAACATGAGTTTTTCATCTCAAAAAAAAAG